CGATATCTGACACTAATCTTGAGCAAGATAGGAATAATTTCTAATAACGTATGAGGGTAGATGGTAGAGACAAGTAAACCCTGAACTTCTTAGGGTGCCCAATAGTAGTGGCGGCTGCATCTTAATTTCGTGTAGAAGGCTTGAGGAAATTTTCTGTTTTTATCAGGTGATAGAGAAAAACAAAGCTCTATTTTTCTTTGCTGTTTCATTTCTATTCACATGGTATCATAATAAAATTTCGATAAGAACTGTTTTTGTGTAAATCTTCAGTAATGGGTAAGGCCGATTAAAAGTTTCAATAACTTAACACATTATATTACAAAACGATATAACCACAAAATGCAGTGTGAAATGCTCTGCAATTCACATTAGACAGCTTATCTTAGTTTCATTTTTTGTTTTCAAAATGCATAGAATTTAGAGTGATCAATTTTCGACCATGCGAAAACGATACTTTTTGGTACAAGATGCACTCATTATTTCGTATTTCATATATATAATAAACTGTTCGTTATAAATTGTAGCGCTTTTCTCGCTGCATCTTGTGGTATATTTCGCTTTTTCTACAGTGCATTAAGTGATTGGAAATTGAAACGGAAAGCGTATTAATCTGTCTCATGCGTTGGTGAAGTTTTACTGAAAAACAGTTCTTATTGAAATTTATGATTAGAATACCAGTTCAATAGAGACGAAATAGCACAGTAAACTAGAAATTTGTTTTCTCTATCATCTTATGAAAAAAGAAAACTTCCTTAAGGTTTCTATACGAATTGAGATGCGGCCGCCACTACTTGTAGGCACCTCTAAGCACTATCTATTTCAATGAACAATGAACTCGGCTGTAAGTTGAATAACTCCAAAACGAAAGCAGCTAGAGACTTACGATTTTCAACACTGGAAAGAGAATAATATTTCTTATATAGAAATGTGAAAATCTAATTAGTCAATTGTTGACCAATCAGGGAAATTTTTGATGTACATTTTAAAAACAATATTCTGAAGGCACTTGTCATTCGATTTGTGGTTTAGACATCACTATTCGGTAGAGAAAATTGTTCTTTTCCCAATATTCAAAACTGAAAGTCTCTAACTTCTTTTGTTCTGAAGTTATTCAACTTACAATCAAGTACATGGTTTATTAAAATGGATAGTAGCCGTGTGACAGTTATTTTCAAAAGAACTGTGACTGCACAGCAGTTGTTTTTGAATAGAAGTATTTGCTAGTACTAGCTCTTTCGGAATGAACGATTTGGATACTTACAGTTCTTGTAATCAATTTTTTTCAGAGTGGTCACTACAGGATTACAAATCGGTCATTTTGACTAGGCATGATGGCTTGGCATTAGTATTAGGATAAATAAAATAATTTAATGCTTTTGCATTACTATTAGCAAAATACTAACACTTGTCATACCCAAAAACAGAACAACGTGTTCCATTATGGGAAGGAAGAGTATTTCCAAAACAGAACAATTTTGTTCCCTTTTTGGGTACCATAAGCGTTAGAATTTTGCTAATACTAATGCAAAAGCATTAAATTATGTTATTAATTCTAACAAAAAGTATTAAAACTAGCATTAATTAATGCGCTGTTAATACTACCCCAGCTCGCCGGTCGTATGAAGTGAGCCAAAGTTGGCGTGAGCCTAAGTGGAGTCCATTAGTCCATACTATACCCATTTCAAATATATGGCACTCTGATACCGGAAGTGTCATTCCCATAACAGAACAATAATACTCACAACTCGGAAGTACTGTTCCCAAAACAGAACACAGTTGTTCTGTTATGGGAATGACACTTCCGGGTTGTGAATACTATTGTTCTGTTTTGGGAAAATAGTTGGATGGCTGTGAAGTAAGAACTCGCATTTTGATTGGTCCATTTTCTCTATATGAAGTAAATCACGTTTCTTTGGTTAGCATGCTTGGCTCACTTCCTATGACCCAGCTCGCCTAATTTTAACATCTCTACACATTTTGTAGTGTAATAGTGGATAAAGTCATAGTATCGT